TCATGATGATACGCACATTCAATGTAACTGTTGATTTCAATTAAGAGTCCTGCCTATTATTCTCTGACATGATTATTTATTTACAGAGCCATTTTGCATGCTGCATTTTATTCTTTTTTTTGTGCTAATCGTGTTATTTATTTGCTATTATTTGCTTAATTTTCATGAGGGGATTTGTACTCCATGACACTGCTTCCTACAGACTGAGCTCCACTTTAACATAGTCTAAATTTGCAAAGTAAAAATATTCATAGAAAGAAACCACTTCAAAAACAAGCATAGAGTCTTATATATTAATTTTTGAGTTATCAAACTTGTTAGAAGGGAGTCCATTAACAGGCAAGCCCCTGATAGCAAACAGTGCTCCAGACAATGGATACTGGGAGAGCTCCTCAGGACTAGCTCCAGAGGAAGCACTGGTGACGTACAGAGTACTGTAATCACTCCCACCAAAGCAGCAAGAGGTTATCCTCCTAGCTGGGAGAGGTATCTGCATCATCCTTTCTCCAGTGTTAGGGTCCCACCTGGTAACACAGCCGCCATTGTAACTAGCAATCCATAGCTTTCCTTCACTGTCCCTACACATGCCATCAGGGAGACCTAGAGAAAGTAAATAAAATCAATACATAGAGTATATTGGGGGTGATTTTGGAGCCAATTTTGCTTGTTTTTTTTTAAATGCTAATAACTCGAAAAATATTTCTCGAAATTAGCTCAAACTTTCTACATAGCACAAGTACATCAATATGTATCAGAAAATGTAATAAAGATTGGGGGTGATTTTTTAGCCATTTTTTGGAAAAAAAAACCATGGGCTATAGCCTTGGGTATTTTTCAGATTTTGACCTATTTCTTAAAATGGCCATAACTTTAAAAATTGAAGTCGGAAGCAGGTCAAACTTTCTACACAGCATAAGGACATCAATATGCATCAGAAAATTTAATAAAAATCAGGGGTGATTTTGTAGCCATTTTTTGGAAAAAACCATGGGCTATATATAGCCTTGGGTATTTTTCAGATTTTGACCTATTTCTTAAGATGGCCGCAACTTTAAAAATTGAAGTCGGAATCAGCTAAAACTTTCTACACAGCATAAGTACATCAATATGTATCAGAAAATTTAATAAAAATTGGGGGTGATTTTTTTAGCCATTTTTCCGAAAAAAGCATGGGCTATAGCCTTGGGTATTTTTCAGATTTTGTCAAATTTCTTAAAATGGCCATAACTTGAAAAAATTAAGTCGGAATCAGCTATAACTTTCTACATAGCATAAGGACATCAATATGTATCAAAAAATTTAATAAAAATTGAGGGTGATTTTTTAGCCATTTTTTGGAAAAAACCATGGGCTATAGCCTTGGGTATTTTTCAGATTTTGGCAAATTTCTTAAAATGGCCATAACTTTAAAAATTGAAGTCGGAATCAACTAAAACTTTCTACACAGCATAAGGACATCAATATGCATCAGAAAATTTGATAAAAATTGGGGGTGATTTCAGAGCCAATTTAAAAAAAACCATGGGTTATATTCAATATGCCTTGGGTATTTTTTTTAGATTTTGCCTATTTCCTGTAACTTAAAAAATTTAAGTCAATGTTAAAAAATTAGGAAAAAAATTAAAGAATAAAAATTACAAAAATTAAAAATGAAAAAAATTTTAAAATAGAAAAAAATAAATAAAAATAAAATAAAATAATAAAATAATAATAATAATAATAAATAACAAAAAATAGAATAAAAAATGAAGATATAAAAATAATAATAAATAAAAATAAAGAAATAAAAATATAATGAAAATTAAATATATATATAATTATTATTTTCATATTTAATATAAAAATAAAGAAATTAAAAAATAATAATAATAATAAATAAATAAATATCTTCGTTGTTATTAATTTAAATAAAAAAAATTATTTAAAAAACAAGAAAAATAAAAATTAAATAAATTAAAAAATAAATTAAGAGCTAGATTGATTTATTTATTTTTAATCTTAGTCAGAAAATGTCAATTGATGGCTCATGCTCGCCCCTGCAATGTATAATTACATTCACCTAGTTTTATAATTTTTCCTGATGCATATACACAAACTTGCAATGACTGCATGTATTATAGCAGAGCCTCTTAGTCATGCAAGCTCATTCAACATCACATACCAAGTGCTTTATCAGTAGAGTAATCAATAATGACTTTCTTATCAGAAATTTGACCAGTCAACTCATCATACTTAAATGAATACACCTCACAAGGTATAGAATCAATGTAATACATGGTAGTGTTATCCAGACTCCATTCCAGCCCATTTGATATCGTAACCTCTGATACATGATGATGAAGGCCTCCAACTATAATACAGTATTTGATGCAGGGACTACACATTAAATATTTACTTCCGTCAAATGAGTAAAGGTTCCCTTGCTTTTCTTCCAAGACGCCAGGGGCTGTTTCCATCGCCATAGTTCCACACCAAAGCCTTCCTGACTTATCGCACTTGCTGTCATTAAAACGAGTCGTTTCCTTTTCGCGTTGGACTGAGCACAACTCTTTAACGTCGCCTGAACATGCAGCAAATAAAAAGAATGCTCAGCAATCACTAGTACCCAATCAACTCACCAGTAGTACGATCCACCATACATACAGATTGTCCCAATACAGCTATTAGATTAGATCCAGTCTTGCAAGGTATTACAGCTCCTACTGTCTTGGTAAATTGCAGTCGCCTGTTACTGAAGTCCTTGAGGTTGAGGAAGTTGATGGTCTTCCCAGGTATGTCCACCCACAATAGCTCATTAGTCTCCTCCTCGTAGACGGGACCCTCTCCTATCTGTGCCTTGGCGTCCAGCACAACATCTACTTGATAGCTACCTGCAGCCACTGAACAAAAATAGCTTCATTAAAAACCTGTTTTCCCTTTACTTTTAGCTCTCTTTAATTACTGATCAGACAATCACGTGTAGACTATCTTATTTGATCTTAAAACGCCCTCTTTAAATAGATTTTATTTCTTTAATTATTTTAAATAACACAAAACAAAAAAGAAATAAAATTATCTATGGGTCTATGATAAAGTCCAGCATATCTTCTTGACCATTTACTTTCAAAGACTAAAAATAAATAAAAAGAAAAATAAATAATGATAATAAAAACAACAACAACGAATTGCTGGTACCTTTTCATTCGTTAAATGTAGTAGACATACAAAAGATATAGGAATAGAGAGTTCATTTGCCATAAAATCTGGAGCTTGTGCTTTTACGATTGAATATAAAGAACTAAAGGAAAGGCTGGAATCCTAGAGACGATAAAGTCAATAGGAAAGAGACAAGAGAGAGATGTCAGCAGTTACTTGACTTGTCTCTTTTGATATTGTATCCCACATGATCCCTTTAAGTCTTTTCACATCAATCCTCTTAGCTTGTTTAGCATAATCAATATCTACCTGACATACCTACGATATGTAACAGTATAGTACATGCATTACTAAGTAATACTAACATACTGTATAGCTGGAAAAGTTTGCAGGAATTATAATTTGTGATTTTGTACCAACATTATAGCAAATTTTAATGCATGTGGAATTCAATTTTGCTGGTGTAGGCGTGAACTCTTGATACACCCATTACTTATAATGCTTTGCGGAATCAAATTGTACGTTTTTATGATGAACAACAAACAGCAAAATTAAATTCCAGCAAAAATATTTCCAGCTATACGGTAATAGAAATAGTTTAATGGATTGTCCATGTGCTTACTTTCATAGGCTCATCTATTAAATTAATGTTATTGCTGTCGCTTAGCATGTCCATAAACTGTGCCCCACTCACTCTTGCTTCATCATAATCTCCTCTTATATCATCATCATCATCTTCATAAGTCTATAATAACAATAATAACCAGATCATATATATGTGTGTGGATGGATACATGATGCTTTAGTCAATCACCTGAACATCATCATGGATGCTATCACCGTACAGATCACCGGCTGCAAATGTTACAAACAATACAATATCGTTGAATTACTTTATGCAGCAATGCCTTACCATCTGATAGCTCACAGGCATTTTCAAGTCTTCTTGATCTCCTGATCTAATGCAAACGAAATTGATTTTCAAACAAGCTGGAGGCATAAAGCATCAATATGTAAAGAAAATATAATTATACATGTATATGTATGTAGTTGCATGTCTTTAAATGGTGCTACGGGCCAGTGCATATACAAGACAGATTACCTTCACTTTGGTTTTACAGAATAATTGATATAGGACGGATTGATCAGTCTTTGCACAGTGAGGAAGGACATTATGAACTGAAGTCATCCTCTCTAGTAATAATTTCGACATTGTGGTACTTGCCTGTTGCCAATTAAAATTACAAAAATTAAATTTCTACAGTAGATATAATCAGGGTTTCCTACAGGATTTTAGCATAGTGCTCAGCTTCTTGTCAGCAAATTTTTAAGTTTTGACTGATTCGAATCAAAATCAATTTTTTTTAATTTTAAAAGCTGCTCAAGTTGATCAAGAAGCCACCTACTATTATAAGGCTTGTCAGCTCACTTAGCATGCTTTGTGGGAAACCCTGACTATAGTTACATGTACATGATGTTATACTTACTCTTCCCTTTTTAAAGAGATCCTCCTTAAGAGTTGCATTGAAATCCACTCTAAACACTACCCTAGCCTGTCTCTTCTTTTGTTGACCAACTTGCTCACTATCTTTACAAACAAATAAAATATTATCATAATAACTATTACAGCAACAGAGTTATTGTACATGTGATAGTGTACAATACCAACCTAAATGCTGATTAACATGTACTGTACATTAATAAATTGTACCTTTGTTATTCGTAGCCTTCATGACAGTGGTTGGTCTGAATTTCCAATGCTGTGGTCCAGCCCAGGCCGATATGACCGTAGGATCGAAATAGGAATATTCTGATACTTGAATAGTATCAGATAAACTACCCATTGGATTATCGTGTCTATGTAATATATCACAGAGAGAGAGAGAGAGAGGATGAAAGAAAGAAAGCAATGGATAATGTTATGTACCTTTGTCTCAATGGCTCTCTAATGCTAGTTGAATTAGGTGACACTGTAGGAGGGAATTCACCTACCTATATTAACAAATAATGCTAACATTATCTGCATTACTTTTTATACCGTATAGCAGGTACATTCCGTTCGAGTTTAATTTCGTTCTTTTCATTCTCATTCCTTGTGGAACAAAACATTTTCCAAACGAAAAGGGCGTTTCCTCAATGCTACATGTGTAAAATGACTGCTCAGAACGAAAATAAAACGAACGAAAATTTCTAGAACGAACATTTTCCCAGACAAAATATACCCGCTATACGGTACAATTCTTATCTGATAGAGGTAATTTTAACAGAACAAAAAGTAGCAGTAGTATTGATGGTAACAAACTTGACATACAAAGCTGTCGTCTTCATTAGCACAGTTTTCGTCGTCAGGTTGAGGCCCTGAATTCAAATACGAATAGTCAACTTCTAAAATAAAATAATAAATGAACAAATGAATGAAAGAATGGGTGATACCAGTTGAAGGGGGTTGACAATAGTCAGGGTTTATTGGAGGGAGAGTAAGAGTCTATAACAAAAAAGAGAGAGAGAGAGCATGAGTGATACACACACAAGTACATACTGTATCATTATCATCTTCGTTGAATCTAAAATTGGAAAACGTTTGACAGATACGTGACTCTTGAAAATTGTGTAATCTTCTGAAGCATTCTAGAACAAATAATGAGATAGCAATATTGGTACATTAAAATAATTGATATAATATATACCAGTTAGCTCAGAATTGGTTATAAGTGATTGACTGTCAGAAGGAGCTGGTCTGTCTGTTAGTGCCAGTTTACCATTGGCATCAAATAGCAAGGAACAATGATCAGACTCAGTGTTCAACTGATTCAATAGCAGACCCTCCACTCCTCCTTCATCGAATTCTGCTGATGTCTTCTTGAACAAAGGATCAACCTATGTATGAAATAATTAATAAAAAAAACAGAACAAAAAGCAATAAGTCAATATTGATTGATTCATTATTGTTGCTTGATTCATACTTCAAACTCCAGATCAAAAGTACTGACATCAAGTGATTTGATGTTCTTTTCAATGACAGTCACAGTATTGCCCTATATCAGGATCAATCCAATCACCCTCACTACATTAAATTGATGCTCACTCTTCTTGTCTTCTTTTTCTGAGGAGCTCCAGTCTCTCCATCTTCCCCTTCCTTCTCTTCAGCCTCACCTGTAAATTAAATACTGTATAGCACTTTATTTTTGATGAGCTAAACTTTCATTATTATCATGGGTTAGCATAAAACCGTGAAATTAAAGATCCACTAAATCTTCAATTGCCATTAAAGGCGTGGCACTAACATTGCAAATCCACAAAAGCTATTTCCGTGAAAAATTGATTTTTATCAATCCACAAAATTTTAGCTTTGCAAAATTAAAGCGCTATATGGTACACATACATGTACATGTACATACATTATCCAGGTATATTTCAATAATGATAATATTCCTTTACCATGTCTATCAGATCTTCCAAGTCCTCCAACCATCTTACATGCGTCATTGTATATGGAGTCGACACGACCAGCATATATCTTAGCACTAGCATCCAGTGTACAACCAGCAACCTTTTAAAACATTAAAAGTAAGAGGTACAGTATACCAGTATGTATGGGGAAGCATTGTTCATACTTGAAAATTGGTCATTTCTCCTCTCTTTCTAAGCATTTCTGCCATCACGTCAATCAAATGTAGACCAAATGCGTTCTTGGCATTAATTTTCTACATAAATTAAAATTATCATTAATAAAATTAATGAGTAATATATATCATTAATTAGACACTTACATTTTCAGTTGATAGTTTGACACACACGGAATAATGCTCAGCTATCTGTGCATTGGTAAATGATGACGTCCCTGTATCTATCCCACGAGTATTAGATCTAGTATTATGAAATAAAAGTAATTAATAAAAATAAGTAATACAGCTATATATACCCACAAACCATCAACAATTCATTAAAATTTTCCACTCCAAAATTATTTAAAAAATTTAACACAGTATTTCTTACCCATCAGGGTTCTTTGCTACACTCCTTGGTGTGTTGCAGCCAGGACTCACAGCTGAACGTAATTGGTTTTCCCGCCTTCTTATCCTTCTCTCAGCTTCATCGTCATTAATAGGGACAAATCTTGGCGTCTTAAAGGCAGGAGAAGCTACAGCAGTCTTTGAATCTAAATGTCTCCTTTTGAAAGGTGTGTTTCTAGTCACTGAAGGTGGAGGCTTGTCATCCGCCATTATTCTTTCCCGCCAAAATGGGCGGAGAGAATTTCATGATGACTTGATGACGCAATTTATTAGTTTCTAAAAATAGATCACCAGCTCACTCTGGGGGTGTGGCTGGTAAAGTGACTGGACAAACATTTTCAGAACAGTACAAAAGGAGGTCGAAAGAAGTGACATTTTAGAAATATCTACTGGAAGTCTGGAATGGAAGACAGCACAGAGAAAGAGCAACCCAAAGAAGAGGGAACCTTGACTGATGATGACAAAAAATTGCTAGATAAAACGACTGAGAATACATCAGAAGAATCTAAAGAAGCCCCTACACCTGCTAGTTCTGAGACGAACCCTGAAACTAGCTCTGATGGGGCTACTGCTAAAACTAAAAGTAATGATGGTACAACTGAAGAAGGACAGCAATCCCCTTTACCTGTAGCTGATGATGGTGATCCAAAATCCAAAGAGACGCTTAGCAGCGATCAAGGACAACCTCCTATTGATTCTAAAATCAAATTCAAAGCCTGCATGCTGCTAGCTGGTGTAGGAGATGCACTAGGATACAAGAACGGAGCATATGAGTTTTGTCGCAATGGCCCAGCTATTAACAGGGAAGTTGACGAAGAGCTGGGTGGTGTGAAAAACATTAAAGTTAATACAAAGAACTGGATGGTAAGTGATGATACTGTGATGCACATTGCTACAGCTGAAGCTCTTGTATCTAAATGGGCAGACGATGAGGCACTATACACCACTCTTGCTACTAAATACATTAAATGCATGAAAGATATGAGTGGACGTGCTCCTGGTAATACCTGCCGTGCTGCAACTTCAATGCTTCGTCCTCACATACGTAAAGGCTACGTTATTCCATTTAATTCACGAGGCGGTGGCTGTGGTGCAGCTATGAGAGCAGTCCCCATTGGTTTATTGTACAACCGCCCTGATCAACTCAATGACCTGGTAGCTATATCAATTGAGAGTGGGCGAATGACACACAACCATCCAACTGGTTATCTTGGAGCTCTGGCTGTAGCTCTCTTTGTATCATATGCCTATCAAGGAAAACCATTGAAGGAATGGGGTGTTGGTCTCTTACAGACACTGGAAGTTGCTTGGAAGTACATTGAGGACTCGGGCAATGATGTCAAAGACAACCAAGACCACTGGTCTTATTTTAAGGAGTCCTGGGAGAAATACGTTGATATACGTGGGATTCGTGATGGCAAATCAGACCCTGTTTTCCCTACTCCATTTGGACCTCAGGAACGTGATCGTTTCTATTCAAGTATCTCGTTCTCTGGCTGGGGAGGATCAAGCGGACATGATGCTCCAATGATAGCTTATGATGCTCTATTAGGCTGTGGTAACTCATGGAAGGAGCTGTGCAGTAGGGCCATGTTCCATGGTGGAGACAGTGACAGTACTGGGATTATTGCTGCAGCATGCTGGGGAGCTATGAGAGGATTTGAAGATGTCCCTGAGTGCAACTACAAGAACCTTGAGTATAGAGATAGACTTGAGAAACTTAGCAAGCAATTGCTTGAGAAATATACTAGCAAAGACTAGAAAACTTTCATTATTAATAATTATTATTCCTATATTTGTGGTAGCTGTCACACATGTAAATTTTTTGTTGGCTGTTCTGATACAGTTAAATTTATATTTTAAATGTGCTGTGAGAATTTCATTAGTAGAAGAGAGAATCAATGAAAAATTATAAAAGAAAGTAATTTCATGCCAGTGGTATAACTATGTTTTCAAACATCTTACTTGACAAATCTATACAATAAGAAGAATGGGAATTTAATAAGACTTAGAGGCCATTCAGTAATATATTACTTGTCCATTACATCCCAAAAACGAAGCATGGATGCTTTGTCTAAATAACGTTTCCTTTTATTGATCTAAAAATAACATTAAATGTAGCAATTATAGTATTTTGGTTTATACAACTCACTTTAAGTACTTCAACATCCCACAATTGGATATTGCTGTCTAATTTCTCATCATCAAACTTAATATGGAATGCCTTCACTGTGATATTGAAAACCTCATAAAACTTATCATGAATTTTAAAATTGATACCGACTGACTTTTAGTGAATATATCAACTGGTGATCCTCCTGCTTGAACATCAGGCCAACCCTTGAACTGCCACATGGGACCAGCTACAAATACAGCGACCACTTGCTTCCTACAAGGAACAATAATGATAATAATAATGGAGTGAGACTTTACCAATCAAGAGAGCTTAGTCTAAGAGGATTGTCAGTGACACGAAAAGGTTTTGAAATAGTTTGCCCCGGATGAGCTGGGTCAGGTTTCTTACGATAGATAGTTAGCTCTGATGTTTTCTTAGAACCAGATTTCCGCTTCTCTTCTGATGGTATGTACCTGAATAAAAAAGTCATCATGATACAAGCATGATCACAACAGTATGTATGAATCACAAGTATAATCAATGATGAGTAGAATAGTTTAAAATACACAATTACATATTATTGGAGTGTGCAAGCACTCACTTAAATTCTTCAAAGAACTCTCTTGCATTGTATGTAGTAATGACAGAAGTTGGTGATGATGGCAGTATAATGATTGGGACTGATCGATGGTGACGGTGGTCTGTGAGTACATTAATGAGATAAACTAATTGAAAAATTAAAATATACCTTTCCTTTGTACTGAAGGTGTTCTGCTTACTTCTAAACAATACAAGGGGTTTATTTACAAATACAATATCACTCAAACATGCATAAGTATACTAACCTTTCACAGTTTCAATTTCATGATGACTAGTATGGACTTCAGGTATTGGTTTAGAGGCTACCTCCTACAAAAATATATAACTCATAACACCAGTAAATTATAGGCAAGTACTGTAGCAATAATAATTATAATGATAAACATACTGTCATTGTTTTTAGTGTCATTCCATGATATGTACCAGTAGTTACAATACTGAAATCACCAGTAGCTGTAGTAATGGTATGTATAGTAATGAGTACATTTATCTGCTCCTAACCTTCCTTTCCAAATCTCTCCTGATCATATCTATTGTACTTACTCTTCCCTGGTTTCTTTACCTACGTCAACAGTGAAAGAAGTTTAATAATATATACAAGAGCCTCCCCTTCATCTTCATTCATCTGTTTCTTCTTACTGTTTCAATGGTCTCTTTGTTGCTCTCATTGTCCATTTTTCCTTCTTCTCTTGACTTGACGGTTTGCAATAAGCTAAAAATGTTGCTAAAAGTCTACCAGAAAAAGAAAAAAACACAGAAAACTAAATGCAGTATGGTGATGCAACAACTAATGCAGTCTTTAAATTACAGCAGGCAAACAAGCACACACACAGAGCATGCTGCATATTACTTTATTGGTGCTTTGTAGAACAGAGGCTCTAGTTTTATGGCACCGCTGCCTCTTGATAACAGAATGTGTAGCATCATCAAGATAACCATGCTCCTAAAATGAAGTATAAACAACAAAATTGATTGCCATTTCTCATAATTAGATGATCATTGGAGTTTTAAAAATTTTAAATTTTAATCAGCCCAAACTTTCTACATAGTATAAACTTGAGTTGCTTTTAAAAATGCTAATAACTTGAAAAATATTTGTCCGAATCAGCTCAAACTTTCTACACAGCATAAGGGCATCAATATGTATCAAAAAATGTAATAAAAATTGGGAGTGATTTCGGAGCCAATTTTTCAGAAAAAACCATGGGCTATAGTACAGGGTATTTTTCAAATTTTGACATATTTTTTAAAATGGCCATAACTCAAAAAATTTAAGTCGGAATCGACTCAAACTTTCTACATAGCATAAGGACATCAATATGTATCAGAAAATGTAATAAAAATTGGGGGTGATCTCGGAGCCATTTTTCTGAAAAAACCATGGGCTATAGTACAGGGTACTTTTCAAATTTTGGCATATTTCTTTAAAAATTTTTAAATTCATACAATGTAGCTTTGGCCAAATTTTAAAGCAAACCTGTGCGGTTGCATCATCAATGTCATCATCCCGTATGGTTGCTCTCTTCTTTGCTAGTCTCTTTGCTTTAATGGCAGCAATCTTTTCGACAGACATTGTCTCACTGAGTGGTCTGATCTGATCAGTAATGGCACCACCTTTCTTGTTAGCTCCGAGTTTGACTGCTAAACGTTGCTACAAAACAATATCACTAATATAATATTATTAGCATTAAATACACATACTTTATCAACTTTGACTTCATCACTCTAAACATACATGTATATGTGCACAAAAGTTATAAAATAATAATTTTATTGTTAAGATATTACCTCTAGTCTTGGTCTCTTCACTGATTCTGGATGAGACTCATCATTACTTCTTTTAGGATCTAGTTAAATTTTTTAAAATATATTTTCCTTTGGGGGCAATTTTTGTTTCCTTTTAAACTCACATGGTGCAGGTATTCCCATTTCCAAATGAACACTTCTATCAATGCTAGGAGTAGTTTCTACATAAAAAAATACACATTATAACAATAGTGAAGAGAAAAACCAACCCTACCTAGTTCTCCATTTAAATAGCTTAATAGTCCCTAAAATATATCAAAAATTATCCATAGCATACAAATAATGTAAATGTACATGTGCAGAGTACATGCTGCTATATTCATAACGTGCAATACTTACTCTTCTATCAGGGAACTTGATAACGGGAATATTTTGGTTCTGTGAATTTAAATTCAAAATAAAAACAAAGGTTTGCTTTTAAAATTAACCTACCCCAGCTCTCTGAACATACATAGGATGAGACAAACCGACATTCTTCAAGAGAAACAAAAGTGATTCTAAAGTGTAATATTCCTTGCCGCCCTGACCAGCTGACCTATGGAGGCATGCACATTACAAAAATGGTGAGAGATAGATTCAATCAAGGTCAGATTCTCTTACTTATAAGCAACATAATTGGTTCTTGCTGTTTTCGGCCAAGCCACGTTTCCAAATATAATCAAGTCATCTCTTTCTAATATCTCTTTCTTCTGGATATTATACTGGCGGAGAAGAGACAGGCAATCCGCCATTTTACATGAAGGTGTGGCTAAACTCACTTATAACTCAGTAAATTAAATGATACAAAATTGTGCTATGATTATGGTTAAAAATGTACTATTTTATTAACAACAACAACAATACAATGCAAAAAATTAATGTTAAATAGCATTTAAAAAAATATAAAAAAGTAAAATAAGTTTCTCAGAAATCATCCATAGGATTCTTGAAGACAGTCTGTGAATTATCTTGAAAGAAATCAGTTGACGCAATGCTATGATGCGACGCTGAAGTAGATAATTGATCAAAAGGATCAAGCAGCTTCAGTTCCATTGGATTCTCAAATACAGTGCATCCTTTACCGTCCTCTGAGGCAACAGTCAAACCACCAACTGATGCACTGTCTAACAAACCATCGTAAGTGAAGACACCTTCTAGGACTCCTTCCGGCAATTGGAAAGTTTTTAAACCATGTTCTAACTCGTCAGAACTAGACTCCTCATCTTCATTGTACCTATTCTCAATCACTGGCAGGGGACCTTCCTCTTCTTCTAATATTGCTAATGGTAAATCACCTTCTCCTTGTCCAAAGCGTTCCAGAGTACCCATTCTGTCAAGGAGTCCTTCCCTTTGTACATAGCGCTGGAGCGTACCTTGGCTGGAATGGTATGCAAATTCATTAGAAGCTTCAGATGTTGAAAGATTCTTGTTACGATTGAACCTCTTCTTCCTATCAATATAGCTATCAGTGTTCTTCTTTGCTTTATTTGTGATGACGCTTGACGAAAAGTCGGGGACCTCCTTTCCAGTTGCCAGTTTAAACCAGCCAGCCCAAACCTTTCGTATATCAGGGGATCTCAGGCAGTGCATTATGAAGATGAAGAGACCTTGGAAGGCAGTCAATAGAACAAAGAATGCTGCAAACACATCACGAGCTGCACCAGCTTGAAAGAAAGACTGTGTAGCTGGCAGACCAACCCCCCATCCCAATCCAAGCAATATTGAAAGGGTCACTGCAACAAAGAATTGCTTCTTGAGTTCGGCTTTTACCATTTTCGATGTCTCTTTTGCCTCCTTTAGGTTCTTGCTGCAGCTTTTGCGTAGGAGCGATATGAAAATGATTGCAAAGACGCTCCAGTTGAATATGTAAATGATGACAAAAGGGGCGATCATCCCGAGATAAAATGGTAAGTCAAAAGCACGACAGCTACAAAAATAATGTCAAAAGTAATGCAGGAAAATCTTACGACTTACAAGTGTGGCTTATGGTAGTTGTAATAGTCAGGAGCAAAGCAGAACAGACAAATGAATAGGGGCAATACTAATAACAGAGAAGGTATATTTAATATTAGGTTATCATAAGGTTGATCTCTTACTCCAGCTTATTGTGGATGCTTTGAGGACAAAATGAGAAATCGTGTCACCTAAAACGACCACTAGCTTCAAGTACAAGTTAATAGCTTCGGCTGCCATCAGCATAAATGTCACAAGGAAGAAGTATTGTAAGATGACAGCAACGACAGCACAGAGTTCAGGTATAGCTGTACTGTGAATGGCAAATATAAAGAATAAATACATTCCAATGAATGAACAACACAAGTGAAGGAGCAGTTGTCCGTGATCAGAGCTACGTAGTTTCCTTCAAAATTAGAAAAAATAAAATGATTATTATTGTGCACATAAAATACTTGTTTGAGCCATAAGACACTACAGTGATGACCAGACAAAATATTGAAATGATGATACCAATGTATGTAACGGCAGAGAGTGCTTTGTCAATAACTCTTTGCGGTGGAGTTTCACCAACTTCAGGAGAAACATCCTATAATAGATAATGATACCGTGATACTAGCTATGAAGATCAGGTATATCAGTTACCAGTAGGACACTAAAGCTTGTGAGATGATTACAGTGACAGAGAGTACGAGATTCATTTAAGCCAAAAGTCTCATTAACGACACAACCATCAGTCGACCAATCGCCAAAACCCTCTGCAAGTTAATGATACATAAAATTGATAATTTATAATTGTAACAATTATTATTACCGTCAAGAGATGCATCCCAAAATGTACAACGTGGATCTCTACCGGTCTAAAAAGAATGCATCCATTAGTACTCATTGACTGTTGCTATCACTTACTATATTTCGTTGGAACTGCAGATTAACTGTAGGATTGGTCAGATTATACACACGGTCTACTCCAGCAAGACCGGCTGAAATTATTATACCACTTACGTTTAAGCCTTTTGGATTGCGTCTTAAATATAACAAGTCGTTTAAGAATACTGAGTTTGTGATACGAGTTGAATTCCCTGTTGATACTCGGAAAAGGTTACTAGGCAGTTCCAGCGAGACAGCTGGTTTGGTTGCGGCAGTTTCGCTGTTGTTGAAATCGAGATTAACCCCGTTAGCAGATATAGTTTGACCTTTAAAAGTTTCGACCTCAACTTCTTGGACCGAGATAGCAAAAGAGGTCTGAGTGATGACAACAGGTTCTCCCCCAACCTCAGCTGGGAGTGCTTCACTTAGAACCTCAATAGACCCAAGTAGCCTATGGGAACAAATCATATCTGTAAATAAAGTACAGCCTACTGTAATTAATAAAGTGTTTAAGTTGTCATCATATGTGCATGTACTCTAGTGGTAACTGTGATAGTGACATACTTTGAACTTGTTCTAGCTTCTGTGTTACTCTTCATGAGTACTTCCTCATTGGCTGAAACTAAATTATCTACAACTCCAAGAAAGTTTTCGGTTAGCTATAAAGAAAGATAAATGGGCTTTCCATTTGTCAATCATATTGTCTTACTGATTTGTTTCCAGCTACATCTTCAGTGGCAGTAACCAGTACAGCAACTGATGCAGTTACTTCAGCAGTTTCAAACATTTCTGTGTTATTTGTGAGGGATATTAGCTCCTCAACTTTCTCATCTGCTGGTCTCTACAAAAAAACAAAAATGTAAAAACATTCATAATTCCATAATTCTTACTTCTGCTAGTCTGCAAATCTTTCTTGTTACTATGCTAAAGTCGCATCTTATATCATTGGAGTTTTCCCACATAGCTCCATCATCATAGTTACCACCACACCGACGTGTTGCAATGAGGCCACTTGAATTTAAGTCAAGGCCACCACAAGGACACTCTATTACTGCTGTGTCTCCTAAATTAGTTTCTGGCCATTGCAATGTTAGTGACAGATCTTCAGTGGTAACAGGGCTAGGCAGAACTGTTTGACTAGCTGAGCAACCATCTAAAAATATTGATAGACAATTAGACATATAAGATTGTACAGACAGAATTTATTTGCAAAAAATAATAATATTTAAAAAATATAATTTTGCAGTAGGCACTTCTCTTACCAAATCGTACAATGGTTTCATCATCAACAATGAAATTAGTTTCAAGGCTTTTCATGTAGGTCTGGAGCAAAGCACGAGTATTAGAATCACTGTGATCAATCAAGATGGTGATCAACACGGTCAAATTTTTATTCCTCAGTCTAGGTGTAGCAATAATACTAATAAATTCACAAGATTATAATGTTAAATCTTACGCTTCAGATGTGTTTGTCCTTTGAACGACAGAGACAAATGTTCCATTAGTTCCAGGTAATTTCCCTCCAGCAACTTCACTGCTGATCTAAAATAAATCAATGTACATGTAGCTCATGCATACACTTTAGAATTGAGCATGTATAATATACCCATACACACACATACCTCATTAATAAGGTTTTGAAGATCAATAGCATTGTCAATATCACTAATATTGATGTCCATTTTATACTGAGCAATACCTAAAGTAAAAAGCCAAAAACACACATATGGGTCTATAGTCCATCCATGCTTACCAGATACATTGACAATGAAGGATTCACTTTCAAATAAACCCTGCCTGTTCTCAGCAACACACTTGTAATATCCTCTGTTAGTCAGATTAAGCTCAGGGAACTCGATTGTCCTTGACAAGTTATAGTAAACATTTCCATACTTGAACCAAGTTATTGTTGGCTGAGGGTTTCCCGATGAAGAACAAGTGAGGTTTAGTGGTTCAAAGAATCTCCCTGTTGCATTATAAGGTGGCAAAAGAGAGTAGGTTTTCCTCTCAAGTCCAACTGATGCTTCAACTCTTGGTTTACTTGGTGGGATCTCGATTACAACCTCTGTTGAAATTTTATATAAAGTCATGATCAAGCTAGTATTTATGGTAATGTTACCTTCTCCACAGAACTGCCCAGTGTATCTCTCAGTACAACGGCATTCGAATCTTCCACCAGTGAGATCCACACACGTCCCACCATTAAGACATATCTGTGATAGCCGCTCCCTGTTTACTTCACAGAATTTAGGTGGAGGTACTGTGTAAGAAAAAAATTTAAAAAGCATCAGTAAAATTATCATTTCTTACAATATGTGACATTCAGTTGATAGGGAGTGTTTAAAATATCTGCCATTCCAGCTGAATTATCAGCCCTGCAAGTGTAATCTCCATTATCTGTCTCCCTTAAGTTGCTGATAGTGATCGAGCTGTACACTTGTTTGATGTCAGGTATGGAAGACACACGTATATTTCTTTCCGAATCAGGCACAGGTGACACGACTATAGAAACACGTGTGCTATTAAGAACCAGCTGACCGTTGCGTCTCCAGAGAATGTTAGGGGCTGGAATCCCGTCAGCTGAACAGTTTAGTATACGCATTTCAGGAGACTCGGTAGTATTAACTAATAGATACCCACCAGTTTCATTCAATAGCTTTGGTTGAACTATACATAAATAAGAAATAACAAAATTAAGGTTAAAAAAGAGTATTCCAAGAGCTCTTCTAATATTAATATTAAAGTTATGCATACCGTGAACATCTAAGTACATGGTAGAACTCCTCACTCCAGCTTCATTGGTAGCTGTTAGAGTGTAATAGCCACGATCAGAGAGCTCAACATCAGTGATATACAGTGTCTGATAATCATCAGAGAACCCATAGTGAATAGGGTCTGTGGTATTGTCCATTAGATTAACAGTCATGTTGCTAAGATTAGTGAAGTGCCATTGAATGTTACTTAACTTGACGGGAGGGAAGTCATGCTCAATGACAAAACCAAAGTCAAAATTATAATCCTTCACACCAACAACTCTGTACTTCATTTCAATGGGGTAGATGGTTGCAGGGACTACACAAAGAAAATTTTATAAAGAAATAGATGCACATAAAATATTTATTAGACTAACCATATATTGTGATAAATGCTTTTGAGGTGTTCACTGCATCAATAAAGTTGCCAATCCCATTGCTTCCAATGCAAGTGTAAGTACCCTCATCTCCCTTTACAAGATCACGAACTTCAAGATAAGAGTCAGTTTTCCTAAAAGACTTCACTTCCCTGATGGATATCTTTCCACCAGTACGTAGTCTAGCATCAAATGTTGATATGTTACGATACCATGTTATACTGGGAGCTGGTGTCCCCGAAAACTGACAGTGTAGCGTGAGAGTGTCCGACTTGTTTTTAATCAAATCTTCCAAACTCATTATCAAATCAGGAGGATCTATGTATATACATTAATTAATTAATAATAATAATAATAATAATAATAATAATAATAATAACAACAACTCACAGTGGACTCCAAATATAGACACATTAGAGTTTGCCATTCTATATTCAAAGAGTGTATTATTAGCAAAGCAGTGATAAATCCCATTGTCATCATATTCCAAGTCATAAATAGTGAGTGAACTCCTCCTATTGTACTCATCTATGACTGAAGGCTCAATGACATATTTAATGCCAGAGCCCAAACTCTCAGTGTCAATAATAGTGTCATCTTTGAGCCAATAGATAACTGGTATTGGGTGACCCCTCACAGAGCAAGTAAAGGTACTGTTTAGTGAGGCAGTTCCATTCAAGCTTAATGGATCTTGTGTAAAATGTGGAGGATCTATAATGAATGCAAAAATAATAGCAATAATAATAGAATTAATAAGAAATAATAATAATAATGGTAATAGTAATAATTATAGTGATAATAATAGTCTAGACTGACCTTGTACTGATACAAGAGCTGAAGACATGTTACTGCTGTGTTTATTGGTGGCTGTGCATTGATAAGTTCCTTCATCAGCAATGCTCTCTATTAGAGCTGTTAAACTACCACTTGGACTTTGATTAAATTTAGATCCAGTAGTGATACTATTACCATTGAATGACCAGGTTATAACTGGAGTTGGTTTGCCAGTAGCACTGCATCCAAGTGTGATGGTTCTTTGACTGACTACATTCATGTCAGTGGGGGCTACCGTGATAACTGGATCAGCTAGTAAGGTAATTAGAAATTAAAATAATCTATGGCTATTATGAATAGCTTACCATCAACTGTCAATGCTATTATAGCAGTGTCCATTCCGTTCCTATTCTTAGTTGTGATTTCATATTCTCCCTCGTCATCAAACACCAAATTCAATATAGTCAGACTCAGCCCATCATCTGAGAATGCATAACGTGAATTACCAGTTATAATCTGTTGAGTGTCTTTGAACTGCCATGAAATGTTTTCTCTAACTACTAATGGAGCGGCATTCAGTATTGTGAAACTCAATGTCACATTCTTTCTTCGTAGACCAATGATGTTAGTATCTACTGCCGTTACATTTGGTGGAGCTAAAAAATAATACAATAAAATTTAGTTTAGATAAAAAGGAACTTGCCTTCAATTAAGAATCTGCCACTGGCGGTATCAGTGGCTCCTATCAGGTTAGTGACATTATTGACTCCTCTACACTCATATGTTCCTTCATCTGGTCTATCAGTATTTGAAATAGTCAGATTCAATTCAGATGCTCTGTAGCCATTTTCATCAAAGTATCTTGAAGTTAGTCTAAACTTTGACGAGTCCATTATTTCACTATTGTCCTTGTACCAAGTTAGTACTGGAGTACCAATACCAAATCCACGACAGACAAAGTTCCCAGTCTCATGAAATTCCTTCACCAGTATAGCAGGAGATACAGTTACATTTGCAGGGTCTATGAATGAAGATCAATTTTCAAGCACAAGAAAAAAATAATGCATCATATGCAGAGAAATTATAAAAATATATAAAGTCATTTGGTATCGTACAAGTTGCCACACAACATAAGAACATGTATGCATATCAAAAAATTATTAAAATGGAGAATTCTCTCTTAGCCATTTTTGACAAAATTTTTGAGTAACTTTAATAATTTAGAAAAAAATTAAGAACTAGTCATTCTGATGAAATATTATCGCAGTCAATTTGAATTATTATAAATTTGTTTGCTCTACCAGTATCACATCTTTATCATTATAATAATTACTAATTCTAATTTACTCACAATTTAATGTCAAGTTAGCTTCATTAGAGCTGCTAGTCAAATCATCAACTAGAGTATTAGCAGCAGTACAGTAATATCTTCCTACATCAGGTAAGTCTAAGGCATCAATGATATATCTGCTTTCAACAATTGGGAGAAAAGTAGCATTCCCAGGAGTAATCAGAGTCATATTGCTCCCTCTATCCAGACCTCCTGAGTGAGTCCAGTTTATAGAAGGAAGGGGATTGCCAGTGACAGTGCATATAAAGGTAACACTTTGTCCAGCAATTTTATTTTGAGTTCGAGGATGAGCTTGTATCACAGGAGAAACTACAAGTGATAATAAAAAGATTTTAATTAGTTTTTTAGCATCAAAATTAAAGCAAGTATTATTCATATACCTTGCACAGAGAGTGTTCCTGTTGCATTAATCTGTCCATGTACATTTGTACCAACGCAAGTATATTCTCCTTGATCAGTGTATTGAGCATCAGTGATTGTGAGTGTACCAAATCTTGTTCCATTTCCAGTGATGACATGTTTCTCGTTGCTGCTTAGTAGCTGGTCATTGTAAAGCCAGTGCGTGATGTGGGTTGGCTCTGAAGCTATGTGACATGAAAAGGTTGCGTTTGCTCTTTCAAGTACATTCACTGCTCCATCACTGTCAATAACAATAGGTGGAACTACATAATTTAAAAGGTACAGTAAATACTATTAATATAATTGTCATTTACCTTGAACGTTAAGGAATATGCTTGCACTGGTAGTCCCGGCAGGATTGGTTGCTATTAGTGTATAAAGTCCTTCATCCAGTAGTACGTGTAATTGAGTGATAGTCACTGATCGTCTGTCCATTGAGAAACTGATCCTGATTCCAGCAGGTAATACAGTACCATTCAACAGCCACTGGATCTCATCAAGAGCCACTGGAGGATTATCCTCAGTGATGGTAAATATCAGTGTGATTGAGCTACCGTTAACACCAATAACCGGAGAACTTAGATTTGCTAACACAAGAGGTGCTCCTATTTAAAAATTGATTTAAAATATAATAAATGTAGATATATTGTGTCTTACTTTGTACTGTGATATAAGCTGTGTTGGATACCACTGAATCAATCAAATTAGCAACATTATTATTAGCATGACATGTATAGTTTCCTTCATCTTCATAGATCAGATTCTCAATCGCAAGAACAGAAACTGAGACTGGTAGTACATAAGAGCTCTCATAGCTATTATACAGGTCTGAAGCAGTATCATACAAGTTTAGAATTGTTCCAGAGCCCCCACCACTTCCACTTAATGACTCTAGTATATCATTTCTAGACACAAACTCAATGCTAGTTCTATTATCCACTTCAATGCTCATCATTGTGTTAAATGAGACTGTGACACGACGCCATGTAATGTTTGCTGAAGGAAAACTGGAGTATATGCAATAGAGTACCAGTGTATCTGATGTATTGTAGATAGTCTCATTGAATCCATTAATAAGACTTGGAGGATCTAAAAATATACACATAAATTAATATCTTTTAAACCTAATTATAATTTGCTCTAATAAAATGGCCCTTCAAAAAAATTTACAATCTCAATCAATACATGTATATAATGACGTACTTAATATTTGTAGGGAAACTTTCATAGATGTTACAGTAATGACTCTCACTAAATCATTATAAGACTGGCAGTGATAGAGACCATCATCAGATCTATCTACTCCTGGTATGTACAAGTATGATGCAGTTGAAGTAGTGTCATGTGTGAAGTTGTTAATAAAAACACCGTCAGCTGATAGTTCCCTCTCCTCTGACAGAACTACATTGTTCTTAAACCAAACAATTGTGGGTGGAGGGTAGCCGGTTGCATTACAAAATAATGTTACATCATCTCCAGCAGCTGTGGTGATATTACGCAAGCCATCGTCAATCAGAGTTGGAGGAACTATAGTAATGAAAATAACATAAAAATAATTGTACCGTAATTATATTCTAATTGTATTACCTTGGACTTGGAGGGTTGCAGTAGCATTAACTGTTCCATGGACATTACTTGCAATGCAAGTATACAAACCAGCATCTTGTAAAGTGATATCTGTAACTGTTATACTACTATATGAGTAGTCATAGTAGTAATAGTCGTAGTAGTAGTAGTAGTAGTATGTATTTTGTGTGATGTTGATATTGTCATTAAAATACCAAGTTATGACTGGAGAAGGTAATCCTCTAGCTCGACAATAAAAGCTAATATTTGTTCCATTAAGACGTCTATTGACTCCACTACTACTACTATAAATTATTGGAGGAACTGGAGAAAAAATGATTAAGTATACAATAAAATCATTTTTTTACCTTGAATGTCAAGATAAATGACATTATTGCTGGTGCCAGCAGGATTAGTAGCTGTAAGTTCATAAGATCCTTCATCTTCAAAGGATAGCTCAATGATAGTGAGTGAGAGCCTGTCGGCAGAAAACATAAACCTCTCATTAACTCTAAGGCTGCTCCCATTGATAGACCAGTAAATATCACTAGAATTGACAGGAGGTATATCTCCAGTAATATTAAACTGAACAGTGATATTAGACCCAACAACGCCAATGATAGGACTAGGACCTCTTGTAACAATAGGAGGTGCTGTTATTAAATAAAATAATATAACTAAGCAAGTAATAAGTAACTCCTACCTTGGACTGTTATGGTAGCATTAGCTTGTAAGGCAGATGAAACCCTACACATGTATATTCCATCATCAGTAATGCTTGCATTGTTGATTGTTAGTGTTGATAATACAATGCTTGTACCATCAGTGGAATCAATGGCATGACTATAAGTAATATCAATTTCTGTATTATTGTATAGTTGGTAGTAACTGGAGTTTAGGAAGTACCAGTCTATTGACCAGGTTGCTGGGTGGCTCCTGACTGAACAGCTCAGTTGGGCAACACTTGTCACATTCACAACAGTTGACATTGGATGCATAACAAATTCAGGAGCAACTAAAAACATAATAACAGACAAATGCGTAACACAGAGTAAGGGTCAGAAATAGCAATTTTATTTAATAGCATGTAATTGATGTAGAGTACTTGATCCCAACTCTTTACTTACCTGTAACAAATAGCTGAAACATAAATGAATGTAGTCCAGTTGGATGATTAATGATCGCAGTATACTGGCCTCTGTTCATTCTGTCAACGTTTGATAGTATCAAGCCAGTTCTGTCTTGTGTAAAATTATACTGCCCAGTAGGGCCTATGACACTAGTACTACCATTAAAACTAGTAAAAATCCATTCGATTTGTTCAGAAGAAACTGGAGGAGATGCATCTGAAATGATGATTGTTAACACAGCAGTATGGCCTTCTGATACAGTGACAATGCTGTCATTAGATGTAATATTAGGAGGAACTATAATAAGAGTAAAATCATAATCAATACATCAATAATAATATTACCTTGTACAGTCAAATAAGCTAGAGATGAGTTATCATTTCCAAAGTAATAATCAACGACATGACACTCGTAAAATCCTTCGTCAGATTTCTCCAGATCATATAAGCTCAAATGTGATTCCACAGTATACTGTCCATCAATTGCAGTTACAGCATTAGTACTGATGTTGACTTCTCCAGGTCTGATTGACAGTGTATCTGCCATACCACCATCACTACTATATCTGTACCATATAATATCTGGTTTAGGAAACCCAGAAAATGTACAAGTAAATATCATGGTGTCAGTTGAATTCTTGGTCGAGTTTTCAATCCCAGACACCAAAATAGGAGACACTATATTATTAGTAATAAAATATTCATTTATAACAGAGTGGCTTACCAATTACAGTGATAGATGCAATGTCACTCAAAATGGGAGAATATTCAGGACTGCTGGCTTGACACTGATAGTTGCCGGAATCAAACAGCTCAATATCATCAATGAATAATTGACTTTGTATAACTCCATATGATATAATTGATTCAGAAGTAGAGAGAGTAGCCTCACTCTCAAAGGATGAGTTAAAGATCCAAGAAATGATAGGCAAGGGTATACCAGAAGCAGTACAGATCAGGACCAGGTCACTGTTAATACTTATATTGGTGCTAACAGGATGAACATTAAAGGTAGGACCAACTACAATAATGACACATAAATTTATTTTGCTTCAAAATTATGTGGACTTACCATTCAGCTCCATTGTACTATTCTCTTCTCCAGCTTCATTTTCAACTGTACATGTATACATACCTCCATCAGTCACTGATACATTTGATATTACTAAGTCAGAGCTATTACTGATAATGATTCCAGACTCATCTGTATGCTGTCGCCATTGATAAGTATTGTTAGGTCCACCTGAGCTTGAACAGTTGATTGATATGTTCTGGTGAATGAATGCATTGATCTGATATGATGATAGGACAACACTTCCTTCAGGAGAAACTAAAGAAAAAAGAATCTTGGTAAATTAAAAGAAAAATCATTTGCACATACCTGTCACTGTTGCAACACTAGAAGTATTTGATAGTAAATGTGGCATTGAAACATCATCTTCAGATACAGGCAGCTTTGCCACACACATGTAATAGCCAAAGTCCTCATATTGAACCTCATTAATGATAAGAGTTGATGTGATGTTATTGGTACCAGCAACAGTATCGTTATAAGCATTCTCAGGTAGTTCAATAATGTTATTAATAAAGTCACTTGTATTTAATGAATTGACTCGTTTCCATTCAATCACAGGAACTGGATAACCAAATGCAGTACAGGATAATCTTACTGAATCATTATATCTTGATATGACAGAATCTGGTTGCTCTGAAAATGATGGAGAAAAAAATACAGGTACTTGGGAAGAAAAACCATAAGTTGAAAGGATAAATGTATAATTGTATGAAACACAAGTATAACTGCCTCCTTGGCCAACAGAAGAGTAATCACTGTAATTAAGTGTGAGGGATGAACTTTCATCAAATGTAAAGAAATAATTGTTATTGTGCCATTCATATAAGAGGTCATTTGGATTAGAAATGTTGTGATTGACAACACAAGATAAAGTTACTGAATCACCCAAAGTAAGAACTGTGGCAGTTGATGGAATAATACTGACAGATAACATACCTACACAATGAAAATGAATTAATGTATTATATACATGAGTGACTGACCATAAAGAAATGTCAAAGCACTGCTTGATCCAGCATCATTTGTAACATTACAATAATATCCTGCAGTTAGTTCAAAAGAATTAATGTCAATTTCAAGTTGATTCATTAGCCCAACAGTAATATTTCCACTCCTCGTTACTCTATACCATGTATACTGATTGTTAGGTCCACCTCTACTGGTACAATTAAATACAACAGTGTCACCAAAATATGCTACAATGTAATCAGGATATATTTGTATACTACCCTGAGGAGATACTAAAATATATATAAAATTAAAATCATTAAAATACTTAATTACCTGTCAGTGTTGCAGTAGATGATATAGCATGATAGTCCATTAGTGTCACAGTAGAATTATTAAGTAAAACATAAACATCATCTGAGGTGAGAGTAGCAATACAAACATAGTATCCAAAGTCATCATAATCTACTGATTGGAGTGTTAGTACTGATGATACTTCATTTATATTAATGGATGAGTCATTGGTGATATTATAAGGAAGGTTTACTGTTACATTGTCTATTCCTTCGAATGTTGTTAAATCATTCTCTACACTGATTCTTTTCCACTCTATTGATGGAAACGGATAACCAGTTGCAATACATACGAACTGTCTTTGACGATTCACAACAGTTAGTATATTTGATGGTGTTTGTATAATGTGAGGAGTGAATATAATAAGAACACTATTTGATTCACCAATGCTAGACCCTAATGTTCCCTGTGCTACACATTTGTAACTCCCACCATTACTAACTGATTCAGGACTTGTATAATTAAGAGTAAGAACTTGTGTCTCTGTATCATTAATTATCCTGTTATCCTTATACCACAAGATTTGCACACTAGTTGTATTCAGTGAATGCCCATCAATGGTACAGGTGAGATTGTAGCTCTCTCCATATTCAAGGAACACAACATCATTGGCTGGTATTAGATTAACTGATAGGATACCTATTTGAAAGAAAGCAATCAATTAAAATCAGTTTCAGTGATCATACCATTAACAATTGAAGTACTGTTATCAGTGCCAGCTTTATTTGATACAGAACACTTGTATTCTCCAAACTGATCAACTGAATCTATTGCTAATATTAATTCTGGTTCATTTCCAATAGTTTCATTTGAAGAATGATAAGTCCAACTATACTGATTATTAGGACCACCTCTACTACTGCAGACTAATCTAACTGTATCTCCTATCTTAGTATCTGTTCCATTGGAAGATATATTAACACTTCCTTCAGGAGACACTACAAAATTGAGATTCAAAATTAAATAACATAATTTTATTCCCTATGTATACCTGATTACCTGTAACTGTAGATATGGAAGACAAGACTTGTATATCTCCAGACAATTCTGATGAAGACATTGTAGCCACACACAAGTAATAGCCAAAGTCCTCATATTGAATGTCATCAATGATAAGAGTTGATGTGATGTTATTGGTACCAGCAACAGTATCATTATAAGCATTCTCAGGTAGTTCAATAATGTTATTAATAAAGTCACTTGTATTTAATGAATTGACTCGGTTCCATTCAATCACAGGAACTGGATAACCAAATGCAGTACAGGATAGTTCTACTGAATCGTTAACTTTTGATATGACAGAATCTGGTTGCTCAGAAAAGGATGGAGAAAATAAAACAGGAACATGGGGAGAAACACCACGAATGAAGAAGAGAAAAGCATTATTGTATGGAAAACAGGCATAATAGGCCCCTTGGTTGACAGAAGAGTAATCACTGTAACTGAGTGTGAGTGATGAACTTCCATTTATTACAAGTACATCATTGTTAAAGTACCAGTCATATAAAATGTCACTGGGATTAGAAATGTTGTGATTAACAACACAAAATAGAGTTATTGAATCGCCCAAATTGAGAACTGTGGCAGTTGATGGAATAATACTGACAGATAACATACCTACACAATGAAAATGAATTAATGTATTGAGTACACAAGTGACTGACCATTAAGAATTGTGAAGGCACTGCTTGATCCAGCATCATTTGTAACAATACAATAATAAAAAGAAAACAATTGAAAAGAACTAATTTCAATTTCAAGTTGATTCATTAGTCCAACAGTAATACTTCCACTCTCTGCTAATCTATACCATGTGTACTGATTGTTAGGTCCACCTCTACTGGTACAATTAAAGACAACAGTGTCACCATAATATGCTGTTGCAATGTAATTAGGATTAATTTGTACACTTCCATAAGGAGAGACTGGAAAATAAAAAGTATATAAAAATTATTACATAAAATATTCAATTACCTGTCAGTGTTGCAGTAGATGATATAGCATGATAGTCCATTAGTGTCACATTAGAATTATTAAATAAAACATAAACATCATCTGAGGTAAGAGTAGCAATACAAACATAGTATCCAAAGTCATTATAATCTACTGATTGGAGTGTTAGTACTGATGATACTTCATTCACATTAATGGATGAGTCATTGGT